CCCCACTAGCAAGATCATCAATAACATATCGACATGTGCTGACATGTGCTAGCATTTAACCCCCACTAGCAAGATCATCAATAACATATCGACATGTGTCGACATGTGCTAGCGTTTAACCCCCACTAGCAGGATCATCAATAATCATAACTATATCCGAGACAAAACCATGCAGGATTTACAGAAAAACCCGAATTTCACAATCAATCCCGAATTTCAGAACAAACTGGAAAATTTCCATGCAGGCATGGATTTAACAGAAAACTCAACATTTACAAAATTCTCAGTTAATCAAAGCAGTTCAGTCAATTCCCAAATAGGCATGCTCTATTCCAGAAAAAATAATGAAATTCTCATTTTCATTTCTCAATCATGCTCATTTCCAGAAAATCAATAAAATCCTCATTTTCATTCCAATCATGCTCAATTTCAAAAAAACAAGGAAATTCTCATAACAATCATCAAAACTTTCATTTCAGTTTAATCACACTCAGATGTTGGTAAAATCAATTTAAACCTTGCCACCATCTCAAAAACAGTTTAAATCATGCTTTAAAATCGAAGGGCTTTACCATAATTTACTTACGTCACTCGCATAAAACCGAGCACTCAATCTCAGTGCTAACTGACAGAACGATCGGGAACCTAATCAAAACACCTCACAATTAATACAGGACTATCACAAATTCAAACTGAAATCATCATTAAAATCACTCCTAATCCCAATGCTATTCCTATCAATCTCCACATAACCGGACATCTCCAAATTTATTCTTATATCACAAACTAATCATTTAAATCCCCATTAATTATTGACCATCGGTGTGTGAACAGTGCCTATAAACAGTAACTTCAACTTCCAAAATTGCAAAACCATGGCTAATTTCACGGGATTTTCACAATTAACCTCACAACAACCAAATTAAGCTAGTTTCTAGATGAATTAAACAAAACTCATGCTTAGAGGCTGCCGAACTTCCTCCCCTCTTTCAACAGAATTTCGGACAGCAAATGGGCAATTCAAAAGCAGAAACCCAATCAACACAAGGCAACAATTACATGGATAAATTGGACTTGGAAGAGTCGGCAACTTACCAAAATTCCAGCAAGCAAATCGGAGCTGGCAGGGAGAAGAAGTCGGCGGCATCTGCAGGGGAAACTCACGGCTACCTCCAAATTGGAAGGGAATAAAGCAATTAAAGTAAACCCAACCTAAATCGAGGTTAAAGAGAGGGATTTATGGCTAAATCTTACCAGAAAAAGCCCAAGAATCGCACCCAACAGAAATGGCTCGCGGACAGGGAAAGAAGACCAGAGTAGATTCGGGATTTTCTGGGTTCAACAAGTGTTCTAAAACAAGAAAATAGGGAGAAATCCCCAAGCTTTGCCGGATTTTCGGCCGGAAAATGGGTGGCGGTAACGGGGGGAGCTCGTCGGGTGCAGAGGGTCGAGGGAGAGGAAGAGCAGGGCACGCGGGTCTGATGGGGAGGGAAAGAAAGGAAGAAAAAGAAAAAAGAAAAAGCAATTCATCCTTATCCTAATTCCTTTTTTTTAGGTACCCCAACTTTTGAAAATTTTACGATTAAACCCAAAATAATATTTTTCTTCAAATAGGTCCCCAATTAAATGCTAAAATACCCCAGAATTTTGGGATATTACACAGACTCTGTATGTCATGGGAAACTTCATTCCTGTTTATATAATATCAATATATCAGTTTATGATATATGGTTAAATATTTGTTCTATGCAAATTATTTTCCTGCAACTATAGAAAAGTTTTGCCATTTCATTTCTAGTTTATGTAATAGCAATATACCAGTGCAAATTATTTTCCTGAAAATGTAGAAAAGCTTTGCCAATTCATTTTCAATTTATGCAATGGAAATATATCAGTTTATGAGATAGCTACATAAGAAATAGGAATGGTCCAGAAAGCTTTGCCATTTCATTTAAATTGCAAAATACATTGGTTATTTTGACAACAGCATCAGTACATCAATACTTCCAGCAGTCTACCTAACGCCAAACCTTTACACCAAAAAAAAGAACCAACAGACAATAAGACATATACAAAAAGCTAAACAATTCCTAAAGTTCAAACACCTAAAATTTACTTCCAATGACCTCCTCTCAAAAGTAGCAACCCTTTTTTCCAGTTCAGAATATGAATCCTTCAGCACATGAAGTTCCCTATGCAAATCCAGATTCTCCTTTTTCACCTCAAGAACCTCAGTCATCAATGTTTTCTCTTTCTCTAACATTTTTTGCTGCTTCTCCCAACAGCGTGTTAACATTGCCTTTACTTGAGGGTCAAACTCACCATCAAACCAAACAAAAAAATCACACCATGGTTTTTCCTCATCCAGATGTTGCTCATACCACTAAACTATTTTAGCATCATCTTTCTGCAAAAATCATAAAGCAACTAGAAAAAATCATACACTCACCAGAATCATACCATATTAAGAAATAATACGGGTTAAAATGGGATAATCATACCAGAAAAAATCATACACTTACTGGATATTTGGAGCAACCCCAAAACCTTCGCCCATAGTTAAAACAGGTTAATGAAGTTTTCCTTATCGGTGGAAGATTACAGTAGCAAAATCCAGTTTGCTGACAATTAAAGCGTGATTGTGATTGTGGCGTAGAAGCGGAACCGAAACCCTCACTGGCTGTAGACATTGTCAGCACCCAAACTTCTTGAATATGGTTTGCTGATACAGAATTTGTTGCTATTGGACTTGGAAGTAACCCCAGAACAGAAGGAAGAAGTCGTAGCTGCTACCACTCTGTGGGCTTCTTCTTAGTCTACTCGAAAGGAAGCCAGTAACTCAAGAGTAAAAGAAAAAACAGAATAGAGTATGACAAAACCAATACCCTTGAGCTGCGATTTAGGCAAAATGGGTTTCGAAAGAAAGAAAGAAACCCAGATTTCTAATTTTTGGAATTTTGATTTAAGGATTCAAATGGGTTTTGAAGGGAAGAAAGAAATTAGGGAAAAGATTGGGGATTTCTAATCTGGGTTTCAAAAGAAAGGAAGAAACCCAGATTTTTGATTTCCAGATATCTAATTTCCAGAATTTTGATTTAGGGATTTGGATGGGTTTCGAAAGGAAGGGAAGAAAGAAATTGGGGAAAATATTTAGGGATTTGTTTCGGTTTTGTGATTTGGGGATTTCTTAGACACTGCGCAAGATAATGTGGCGAGAGATGATGTGGCGAGGGTGGGACCCACAAAGCAAGGTGGC